ATGGGGGTCTCGGGATGATCGTAAGCGACGGTTAGAGACACTGAGTGACATAGCTGGGTGTCGTCAACAGTGCCTCTTCTCGATTTCCTTGCATCATTAGTCCACTAAACTTCAAAATTTTCTCTTCAATCCTACTTTCAACTTTTCCGTTTTCCTCCAATTGTTGAACCAAATGGGCAGCTAAAAGACAGCAACGAAAAGCGACGCATGGAAGTGCATACTTAATGGTTGTTTAAACTGAAACTGATAAATCTACCTGTTATACAATTTACTATAGTTATCTGACTTAAACGTCCCTTTAGTTAACACAGAATGGTAAGCATAAGGCATCGATCATTTATTCATTGTGTTTAGCTCAAACCACTTTAACGGTAGATATTCGGACTCGAAAATCATTAAACAAAAAGGTGACGTCTTAATGATTCTTGTAAACTCAACAGGGTAGAAAACTTTTGATTATATTTCAGTTTTATTGTGGCTATTGATAATGAATGTTAACATTTGCTGCCATTCCTAACCAAGGTGATCCTTCATCACCTAACAGGTGACATTTCGACCATGTCAAGCTTTTTCCAACTCACTTCAAGTACTCACATAACGCGATACGTTCCTCAATCCAAAAAGAACTCTCATTTCAAGTGACTGACTGATTTGTTTGCTTCTTGCAAAAGAATTCCACTCACTCGTGCAAATCTGTCGAATTAGTGCACTCCTAACCGATAAATGGTCTAAAGAAAAGCAAGCAGTTCCTGCGAAACCCGTAGCGATTTCTCTTGACAGAATCTTGGAGAATGACCAGTCCTCATCCCGTTTGAGTAGGTGAATAAACACTTGGTGAACTGTGCACAAAGCTTATTTGCAGAAGGTATGTGTGCAGCCGATCTACGGGCAGTTGAGAAAGCAGGGGTATAAACACGTAAGCAAGTAGGCGAGCCAGCAAAAGGTCCACGAATCACATGACAGCAGAATGCGGTCAAGCAGGTAATCAAACACTTAACAAATCAATCTGCACGGACAGATGAATTGGCTGGAGTGGATCCATATTATAATAAAGTTCACATGACGTGTATTGAGGCGTGATAGCAGGCAACACCGGCTAATCAATCAGGCCATAGGTCTGTATGTTAAACGTGTCAGTCAACTGTAGGCCACAAAACTCCCAGGGGTTCTTTGAAATGCTGGTATACGAATGACAGTTGAGAATAAGCCAAGTGATCTGGATTACCCTCAGAGTATAGCCTAACTGTTCGCATGCACAAAGCACCCATGAAAGAATAAAAACTATTACTATGTTTGGTCAGCGCTTTGTATCTTCAATGCGCGAAACGATCCCGCAATAGTGGGTTTCGGCCACACCAGTTTCCAAGCTTGATCATTAGGAACTGACCGTAGTTGATTGAGTCTTCTGTCTAGACGAGTATATAACGCATGATACTATTATACTGAAAGAGATGATCGTACATGTTTTCATCGTCTGAGCAACGTCACAACGTTGACCGGAAGCTCAAGGCTCACATAGACAGTGTTACATTTATCTAAACTGGATGTTTCCCACCGTCGATTTTTGCGTGTTAGCGTACGTGGGGTGCAGTCAGACGATTAGCAACACCAAAGGGAAAATTTAGGAAAACTTCATGCTGATGCGCATGCATACTGAGCCTCATGCATGCATAAACACCACATGATAGTAGCTAACAGTCGGAGAAATTGATTATTAAACCAAAAGACACGGCAAATTGGAGCGAGAACAATATCGGATTAAGCGTATGCACACGCATAAAAATACTAATATGACTCAGTCAGCATATCAACAATAACGGGCATATTGCTCAAGCCCCTAATTCAACTTGTCTCGAGCTGCAAAAGCAACAACTCACAAATGTGTGTAGTCTAGCGTGATTTTCAAATTATCATTACACTCTAAAAACAATCGATTGAGGTTCAGTTGCATCGGGTTCATGTTTTCGTCGTTAAGGTCAAAACAATCGTGAATAAAAAGGCACTAACAAAGGACACACTCCAATGCCAATTCCTGTTTTTCCTTGATAAATAAGTTAAACGGAATCTCCTGTTCTGTGTATTCGAAAGTCAATTGGGTCTAATGGACACGTACAGATACACACCTATTGTGATGGGTGAGACGTGTTCAGATCAGAGCATCAACCAGTTAACAAGATGCTCAGCACACCATGAATGGTGGGTTCATTTCAATTTAAAATTGAATTCATTGAAAGTAACCACGAGTTTCACTTTCCACTCTGTGGCTCAGTTTCTCACTGTTGCGCCTGCTTGAAATTGAAACAAACTCTGGAAGCATAACTTACAATTTGAGTATTTTGAATGAACGCACCGCTATACATTTCAAGTAGCCTGTTTTTGAAAAAAGGATTGGCTACAGTCAGTTTCCAAAATGAAAACATTAAAATATGTCATGATATTTTCCTCCACAATGTCATCCAAATATCTTGAGACTTACAGACGAATCGAATCACTTCATCCAATTCCAGATGGTGCTCGAAATGATAAAAATAGTGCCTTTTCGCCGTACACTAACACAAAAAAGCTGAATTGTACTGACTGATTACGGTACTAAAGGAATCAACCGCAGCAAGATTTGATTTTTCAAGTTCGCATGCCAGACAATGTTAGAAAGGTTTTCAGGAAAGCGGTTTCATTCCGTAGTAGCATACTTTGAATGACTTTCTTTACCACACTTCAATTGATGCAGTGTTTTGATCGCTGTTTTGCCTCCTTTTCATTCCACAAAATATTTATGTATTATAGAAGATATAAATAATTTATGAGTCATCACCAAAATTACAGGATTTTTCTGTTTCTATATTTCGTTTGTAATTTCTGATAATGTGCTTTTTCGTCGAAGATGAGCTCGAAAATTCACCGCTATTCGCATTTACCCCAGTGTCATTAGAACGAGAATCGTGCGCGTAAACCACCGACCTATCCGACTAGAGTTCCGATCCCAATAGATCTTGAATGTAACATAGGTGCTTGACTATCAATAAACCGAGGGTCGGAGTGATTTTGTTTTTTATTCAAATAAGAAAAGAAAAAACACGTTGATTTCACTGGAAAAGTTCTGCTGCACATTCACTCCCCTGTGGAGTGTCACTCTGTACAGAATGCACAAAACAAAATGTCCATTGCAACACACAAGGACTGGAGTGCACAAACACATACACACACACACACAACAGACTGGTTCGTACAGTAATTAAAGGGGTAAATGTTACGGACGAGGAGAATGAAATCACGCACAATATGATGACTCATAGCACCCAATTGGTCAGAATAAAATTAGCGGGAACATCAACGACGTCAACAACAACAACTACTACTACCACAACAAGCACAACTAGTGAACAGCAGTGAAAACGCACGGACAATGCAAGTATAGTTTGTTGTGCCTTGGTGTGTTAACTTTTCTCGTTTGTCACTTTGCTTTTGTAGTTGTTATTAGGCGCGAGATAGACAAACATACAGATACACGGGTAGACAGGTAGAACGAAAAATAAAACTTTTTCAGATGGAAGCATAGAACTGGATTCGAATCAGTTAAATTTCAAAAGTGGGGACATGATTTTTTCATACTGGTGTATAGAATAGAATTTGTGTGGGAATTCGATTCCGCGGAATGAGGGGGGGGGGCAGGAAACACAGCCATGATCAAAGGAAAAATATACATTGCAATAAGCCAAACATAAAGACGCGCACACGCTTATAAATGCTCACGAGATCGCGCAGGAATGAATAGAAAGTGTATAGGGTTGCCAAGTAACAACAACATTTGCGGCAAGGCAGCGAAATGACGGTAGATTGAAAGTAAACGGGCATGTTCTTTTGTAAACTGGAAGAAGATTATGATAGTGGTGAGTGAAAATAAGATCATGATACAGAGTGAGATTTGGTAATTAAGTGAAAACGATACATCTCAGTGAAGTTATTCACAGAAGATATGCTATAAGAAAAATCCGCAGCCGAAGTCCAGGATCACTAAGCGATAAAAACGCGATGAAGGGGCATCTGAAGGGTAACATGAGTTTCACTCCCATACCCAATATAAATTGGGGAAACGATCACTGAGGTGTTGAAATTGTAGTGAATGAGGAAGAGAATAAAACTGAACAAATTTGAAGTATGGATGCGCTCAGACCGCCAACAAAGGTACTGAACAACCAGGCAAGAACTAGGAGTCTGAAATTACCTGTCCCTAAAAGATCGCCAAGGGGTTTGGATAATTTCACTGGGGAACAGAAACAGGACAGAACACCAAAATGGAACCGGAAAGAAAACATTTAGGCTGCATAAAATGGCGGTTAGAGAGGTGTCAGAGGGGTGGGTTCAAAAGAAATTCAGTTTCGAGAAAATTAAACCTGACTATTTCTAGTGATGCCCAATGTCTTGATTCTCATCAAACCAGATGAATTGTTCGACACACATGAACAGGACGAAATGTGTTTGGCAGAATTAGGAGGAGAGAACAAACGAAGAAAGACAGAAATAAAGAAAATTGCAAGGTAGCACAGTGTCATAAATGGGTGAAACAACGAACAGTATTAAATTGATGTTTGTGTCCCTTCTAGTTGCTACTTGTGCATAATCATTTATCTTCGATGATCCCGTGATTTGCATGTTATCCGACAGTTAGAGATCGATAATCGGGTCAGAACCAGAATGAGAACCNTCAAAAAGAAAAAGAAGGAAGGGAGGCAACGGAGGAGATAAAGTGGAATAGTAAGACATGGTTGTAAAGTACGGTTTAAATGAGGTCTTTTTTCACCGTTCAAGCGATTAATGAAAGCACTAGTCGAGACATTCTGTATGTGGGTCAGCGTAAAACCGGAATGAATTTGCAGCTGTTTATATGGAACCCGTCTCGAGAAACGTAGTTTCCGAGGACTGTGGAAAAATAAGTCTGAGAACAGGGAATGTGGTTTAATTTCTGTTTGCAACCCACCCTCCAGCTGGAAGGTTCTTCGATTTTATATCCCGTATTCTTTCGGTTGAATACGGTATGTTGAGGCTGCATTACCCGAGCCGTTGGACCATCTGGTCTGAAAACTGTGATTCCGTATCGGGGTTTTCAAGGAAGCCGCTAACAGTTGTTCTGCTGTTGGCATATTTGTCCGAGTTTGTGAATTATCTTGCTTTCGAGACATTAGTTCTGTCTCGGACTGATCGGAATTCGCAGTTTGTTGACTGGGGCCGGAAAAAGAATTCTTAGCCGATCGGATTATGTTGTTCGATTCACTGGTTCGATTAGGGGTATCTCCACCACGACCTTTAGATGGATAGTAGCCATGACGGATGAAAAAGTAAATATCATCCAAGTCATCGTAAATTTGAAACATCTCTTCTTGGGTCAAGTCTGGAACACCGGAATCCGTGTTTGAACCACGAACCGATTCGGATTTGTGCCGATTGGTCTTTCTTGTGGCATAGGATTCACGAGGTTCCCGCGTCACGTCACGCATATGACGTACCAAATAGTTTAATGAATCACGAGGATGAGCAGAGGCAAGGAAATTGATGGACTGCAGACGATGTCCCTCAAGCAGGCGCTCGTAAGCCGGATCACTGGAACTGCCTAACTGAAAGACATGATCCCGTAACATGGACGGGGTAATGAGGAACAGACGTTCCGGTGACGTTATTGGAGCAAATATGAGGATATCCCCACGACACAGTGATTGAAGCCGTAGAAAATGTTTTTCTGTAAACTGTAGTCCTTGTACAGCAGCCAAACCACACTGAAAGAGGGTGGAATTTGGGGACAGATTACGATTTACACTAGCTGAACCGTTCGATAGACGTTCTGTTTGATCGGTAGCAAATGAGCCACAACCTTCTGTCCCGTACACCGGTCGGACGGACAGGGGAAGTCGAAATTTACGCAAAATACTGGCCAATGAATGCACACCGGAAATATTCTCTGGACCGGCTACCGGACTGATAGAAAATTTGGGAGGGAGCAAAGCTGGTGTGGAATCCTCCAGACCAATGTAATAGGCACGTGAAGGTAAATTATTTCCATTGCTTAATTCACCGGAAGGCGAACGTCTAATTGGAGAGCCAGGCACACGTTTTGTAGCCAAAATCAGACCTAACTCTTTGACTTTCCGTCCACGTTTCAACTGGCAATGCGGTAAATACGTAACAAGATGCATAAGCGTTCCTGCAGGAATGGTCTCGGAGACAGAATTGTTCAAGGTATCGGGGGAAGTGGCTACAGCAACCACACTGGATGGAAATGCGACGGGTGGAGGCCCATCGGGATTGGGACGTACATCATTTGGGGGAGGTATCAGCAGCGTGGGCGGAGCTGCCAAACACTTCAAATCTCGACGAATAAGAAATGTAGCTGGCTTGGCCCGACGAAATTGCTCAACTGTGGTCAGATGGGGAATAGCTTGCTGATTTTCATTCAAAACCTCATACCAACCCCGGCATTGTCGAAAAACTGCCAGTTGAGCGTGTACTTCAGTAACTGTAGCCACTGTCGGTCCAACTCCGTTTCGATCATATCCGATTGCAGAACGATTATGACTCTTGCTTGGAATGGACCAAGAAGCCCACGAAGCCAATGCCAATGAGGTGTCCAAAACTGGAAATAGAAGCAGACTGTCGTGACCACACAGTGCACAACGACACCCCGAACGTTGCGCAATTGCCTTCGTGAGATACGTTGATCCGGGAGGATTGGAACGGAAACGTGGAACCAGTTCTTCTAACGGTTGTGGTTGTTCGGAACACCAAAGAATTCCCGACTGAGACATGTAGGCACTGGGTCCTCTTGAACTGGAGGAATTGGATGCTCTGTGTAGCAAACAATTTCGGAACAAGTCAAAAATAATAAAGAATATTTAGGAGATAACTCGAATCGCATTTGGTTTACCGAATAACTAATTCGGTTTTATAGAAAGCATAATGACTGTAAAATAAGGGTATATATCTTGTGTCCTGATCCCCAGAGTGCAATTAAGGTTAACTCTTGTTTTCACCCAGACTCACTTTAGTTGATTGAATAACATTTTTGTCTGGAACATCAATATTTTACTCAATCTTCTTTGATATTGACGAGCTTATTGATGCACTTCTTACAGCACGGGAACAGCATTACTTGCCAAGCCTCTTGTATTCAAATGCCGCTACTACTAGCCACCGATTCGCTTTCCAGATGGTGGTAGTGGACCAACTGCTGTTCCCGATCAACTTGTGGTCTAGTGTACATGGTAAATCTTCTTAGTTCAGATAATATCTGATATATCACACCTGACCGGAAACTAACTGGTCCAAAATGTACCAACAACGACCAACGCAATGATTTGTTTAAAGCTATCTACACAACCCTCTGGGATTAATGTATCCTTTTGTATTTCTGCTTCTGTTTTTGTTAACGTTCCTTTTCATTCTATCTCAAGCACTAGTCTCCGACTGTTTTGCTCGGGCACTACAAAAGTATCGAACTCTCCATTCGCGGAGATAGATGAAAGCGGAGAGCAATGTTCGGGCTTGAAAAACGTGAACTGTTTTATCATTCGAGTTCCTGAAACTTTTAAGATAACACAACGCAACCATTGCGCGGTTGGTCACTTCTCAGTGTGGTGAGAAATGCAAACTCAAATGAACTATCAAAATAATTTCGTGAAAAATATCTCCTCCGTTTCATTGACTATTTTGGTTGATTTGGGTAGGCAAAGTGATGACCGCGTTCTCGCTATTTTCTGTGGTCTTTTCCCGTATGCAGCATTTCACTTGACAAATGGTGGTTCCAGAAAAACTAATAGTCGATTATTCACGCATTGTTAGGACCGAAGAAATGAAGCACTCTGTGACTTAGTTCTATCAGAAATTCTATTCGTTTGAAGCGAGTTTGCGAACACGGACGATCTGGCTCGTTGAGGGAATCTATTATTGGCTTCACTTTCCACACATGTTTCCCCCGGTTGATGGCGGTATTTTTTCAGGTCGCTGTAGGTTGATCGCCTGCTTCATAGCCGCTACAACGAATCGATGATCCAGTAACCAATTGGATGAAAACAGAACACAGATAGACCGATGAACTATAAAGCTCTTATTCTCTACAGTCAGTACGCTTTCAAACGATGAAGATATCTTTCTGCACCGAATATGGTAACAATTATCTGCAAATATTCTGCTCCCTTTGAGTGCACAACATGTTTTAAAGTTACTGTAAATAGAATTGGCATTTACCCACAAGACTAATGATACGGTAAGCGCAACGAAAGAATCTTATGACGTGTAATAACTTTTATACTTTTTCATGCTTTTCATAATTTTTACAGCTGGCATCGCTACAATGCTCTATCCAGGGACGGGATCGCCACAGAATCCTGATGTCATTGTAATCACTACATATAGGGTTTATGGAATTAATCCTATCGTCTGATGGATTCAACGGAGAATGGAATTAGCGATCAATCAGTGTAAGGGTACTCGGTGAAGTGGTAACCCAGGTTAAAATAAGATCTCAAAACAAGTTTCTAATAACTGTGTGTTATTTTCAATGTAGAAAACATTGTATTCTGATCAATGACTCCATGTCAAACTGGATGGTTCGTTTTGGTTTCACTTATGGCGCTAACTGGAATTTCTCTGTAAATGAGGACATTATGCGTCTGCTCAATTCAGATTATTTGGGGTGCTTTCGATTTGGCTTTCAAGAGAACTGTAGAAAAGTACACAAAAAATTAACGCCAATTATTTCAAGGTAAACAAAAGCGAAACTAAATAAAAGAAGCTTTCAATGACGGAGACTGATGAACAACATAGAATGCAGCCTAGCCAGGAAATCCACCGCATTCAGTGAGTTTTATAGCTCATTGAGGGAAATGACATGGATGTCAATTAATGTGCACCTCCCGGGGAAACTATATCCGTATATACTTTTGGGTTATCCCGAGCAAGTTAGATGAAAAGAAACGATGCAGATCAATCAGAGGTCCTCAACTTTGGGTCCATCAAGAGTATGGCTAAGACACGCTTGTAACTCCTAGTTGTAAAATGAACACTAACAAGAGCTGGAATATTCATGAGACGGTTCCAAGCCCATAGGTAATCAATAGAACTAGAATCGATGAGACAATCTAAAGTTCCGTGACCACAGTCAAACAGTCAAGTTACCGATGCATCCGATTGTGTGTCGTGTGATCATTCGTATATCCGGACGGTCCTATTCTCATAATAAGCTGCTTGTTTCGGAAATGTGAAAGACCGATAGAAATACTATTCTAAACAAACAAGTATCGATCATTTAATCATTCAGTGCTCCGTCATAAAATTACTAACAAGTCTTCAGATGCTAGCACCCGGTAATACTGCATTCATAAAATTCTTTCATATCGTTTCGTATGTTCATGATCCGAATACAAATATAAATACAATGTGCTCCCGAAAATGCTTTGTACTCCCAGTTGAGAACAACTTCCCAACAGATGAATAACTACAACACACTTCCCCCTTATTGTCGCAAGCAACTGGCGACAAACGTATTAGACACGGACGAAATGCTAATCACAATAGCCCGGTACGTAGGTAGCGCGTGGGTGTACACAATCAGTAATCCGGAGTGCCCTGATCAGTAAATCGATTCACCAAGCCATTGGAACGAGGTAAAGTATCTCCGGGGAAATAAGTCCTACTGAATAACACCAAGCAGAGTATGAGAGTTGCCAGGGTAATCGCGGGTTAGATTGCAGAAGTGTAAATGATATAAAAACATCGCAATCAAATATAATTCCATACACTATATATATATATATATATATATATATATATATATATATATATATCGCGACTGTAGTATTGCTCCAGAGCTTTAGAATAACTGTTTTAAATTCATCTGTACGTAAAAAGACACCTCATTTAGCATTGGACTTCAACCGACGGGTACCATTTCTAACATCATCATCACGATTAAATCATTAAATGCTCAAGTGAAATCAATCCGATGGATTTTTTCGTAAAGAGAACACAAATTTTGAAGTGGACAAAACGTTTCGAATCCGATTCCTCATGCTTCTTATGCCCGTAAATCTGTAAAGGACATTTTGCGTATCCAAACAACAGAAAACATTTTTCTCACAGCTTCATAACCTAGCTTTTCCCCGATAGAATCATCAAATTCAAACGGGGTTTGAGAACAATTGTTTGCAATCTTGTACAGGAATACACTTTGCTACAGCCTCAAAATCACTTCAGATAGCTTCAGGTTGTTCAAGCCAAAGCCAGAGATATCCTTAGAGATTTACAACCGAAGCCTTCGGTTAGCCAAAGCCGAACTTGCCAGGAAGAGGAACAGTTTCAAGTGGGATGAACTTACATTCAATCTGCTACATCTCCAAACAGGTACACCACATAAACGATTACGTTTCATCATTCATTACTTTTTCCATGACCTTAGAAGACCCTTGAACTGGGAGTTCCTCTACCCATGTTACACCCACATGTACACCCAAAAATCTCCCTTATAACAAAATAAAGGGATTTTCACGGTTACCGAAGAGTTTAAACAATATGCTTTCTAGCACCTTAAATTCCACACAAAGACTCGTGTGTTGTCGTTTGCACATTCCCTTTCGATCTCTTTCTATGCAATGGTTTCTTTCTAATCCTAAGCATTCCTTTCGGAGTAAACTCACTAGATACCACAAGTTCAATCGTTAACCTACTCAATTGCTGAAAACGATGAAAACCAATTGTAGTAACCAGACACATGCGCATCGTTCTCCGTCGTGTTTTGTGGCCCATTATGGGTTCCCAAACCGTTTCGAATTCAACTCCATGAAAACTTTCTCCTATGATGGATATAAATTACAATATTCTTTTCTTGTGCAGGTATTACCTTTCCAGAACAATGCACTCTAACGACGTTAACTGCAACCGAGCCTAGAAAGTCAGACTTGCCATCGGAGTCTTATGTTGTGCGCCACAGTCTCATGAGTGCAGCGCATTTTCATGTACCCCTCGATCGTTGCCCATTAGATACAGGTCACGCGTTAATCGTTCTTTAAACTTAGACTGTGTATCGCCTGAATCACTTAGCTCAGCGTCTCAGATGTTTTATCCCTCAACCTGTTATTTGTATATCTGAACGTCACTCAATCGTGCTATCACCTATGAAACCAATTTATTTCGCCTGTAAGACAGTCCTTATGCCAATCTGTTTTATTTTGATCTCAATCGCTTAGACCACTTGCAATACACCTCCTTCGTAGCATGTTGTTGTGAATTGCTTGATTTTCTTTCCCGGTTTCTTCGTGAGAGGTTTTCCGCACCAGTCGAAAGCTATTATTGGTCTTCTTTAGTTAATCGGTCTCCCTGAAGAGGGTTTGTCAACCACTGTCACCGATTCGGCTGTACAACAATGTGCCAATACCGTCTGGTTTCCTGACCAGACATCATGCCATGGGATCAGTATTGTTCTGAATTTTGGGTACGTCGCTGCCTTGGCACTGCTCGTAATTCGAGTTGGCGCTATAGATAGAACAAACATGCGTGACTTGGTCTAAGCATGGGCCTGGGGCGATGTAGAGAACACTACGAAAAGATCAGGTGATTGCATTCTACGAAGCCCCATTCGGTGGAGAGAGTGGCTGATCGGTGTTTGCAAACAAAATCCGGGCCTGCGAGATGACGCTTACCCTGGAGCGGCGCGTTACAGTTTTTCGACAAATGCCATCAATCAAACCTCACGGGTGACGTCAACAACGGGCATACGTGTCACTGCTTCTGACTTCATATCATAGCCAGATCGTAGCAGTCAATCAGAGACCGTCCAGTCCAGCCAGAAGCAGAAGGATGCAAGCAATACAGGAACGCCATTGGTAGAAGCCCGGAAAACCAATGAGCCTACTTTGTATATATTATTTAATCCCCTTTATTTTTTCCACTAAACGAACTACCATTCCTGTGGCCTTTTCCCCGCGTCTCAGTCACGTGGGATATTGCGTGCTAGTGCAACTGTGGTCCAGTACTTACGTGATGCAGTCCGTGATAGCTGATCCTTGATTCGTGTCCCGTGATTCGTATTGCGCGTTTCGTGCTCCGAGTTCCATGCATATTACTACTATTGCTGCAATCACTACACCTACCGAGGAAATTTTTCAACGAGCGACTGAAGTTCTCTAAACATCATTGTTCTCAAATTGTTGTGAGCAGGTATGCGACAAAAGTACACAAACGATAATTGTCCTCAGGCAGAGCGCACTATTGGATGCACGCTCTGAGCTTATTATTCTGCATTTCAGTCCGTCACGATTGGTGTTCATTTTCTGCAGAGTGCAGAAATGATTCCCGATCATCTGACGCGAGAACAAAATGGAAGTGACCCCGATTTAACTTGTCACTTTCGGGTACAAACCATTCGGTTTACGAAGTTTGTACTTTGATTATTCGCAGAACGCCACTCAACAGGATGATTGTGCCGTCCGTTGAATGTTACACAACCTTGGCCTTCCTCCTCAGAAATTTGAGTTTCCATTTCTCACTCCCACTCGATCTCTCTGCCAAATCCTTACCGAAAATCAACTGATGGAACGTAACCCAACAGGATAACCATGCCATACGACCGGACGGTAATGGTGTAATGCAACGAAAAGTATTTAAACTAAGAGTAGGCGACATCCACTCAGTAGCACTAGATACACTGGTGTGTATACTTACTGATTATAGCTCAAGTTCCATGTTCAGTGTTTCCGTAATTTCAACAATGGTAAATCCAAACGGTTGGGTGGTTTACTTTGGCAATTTTATCACGTTATGCGAGTAACTGATGCAATATAGTAAGAATCACACTAAAACGATGAATTGCTGCTCTTAACCAATCAGGTATTGGATATTTCATGGACGCCATGCTATGGAGCAAAGCCCTTCCAATAGTTAAATTATTTAAAATGACTCATAAAATTACCTTCGCGCCCTCTCACTCACTTAGTCTCTGGTTGAGGCATTACGTTTGAAGAAACTCTGTTCCACTAAGTAGGTGCCTGCGATATTACTGTAGGACGACTAGCGGGCCGAAATTGTTGAACCCGGCTAGATATTGTACAAGTATACCTGAAGTAAGCATGTGTGAGTCCTGCTATACACATCCATAAACGCTGAAATGGAAGAGAGCTTCACTGATAAGCGTTAACTGGTTATAACTTGCATTTCCTAAAGATGAATATGCAGTCCAAAACAGCACAACAGACGTGCCTGTCAGACTCGGCCGCCGTTGAACAATGCAAATCCTTCTTTACTCCGATGAACCATTTGAGGTGTAAAATTTCTAGCTAACCAAATTAGACCGATTTGCATGGTACACACCATTCGCAAACCGAAATGGTATATAGCAGAGAAAAATTGCGCATTTCAAGTGCACCAAACATAAATCATCATTTTCATCTCTATCCTTCTTCCTTCTCCTGAAAATGTATGGGGTCCATTTGGATAGGTATTCAGTCTGTACATCAGCACTTCGCATACTAAATAGTTTTTGACCAACTGCTCTACCTTTCCTGTTTAAAAGCCTTGGTTAACTAGGTCTATCATGAATCACTTAAATGTAATGATACAACAATCAAGTGACTAAAATTAGAAATTATCAAACAACAGAGCTCAGCCGCAATTTAAAAGAGTAAAATGAGTTAGATAAAGGGTGGTTGATTGTGTACTAACTCATTCAGCGAAAGAAGTGAAAGATTTATTAATTTGAATTCATGATAAATCAATCTCCGGATATAAATGAATTGAATTTTGTACGACCTTTTCGGCTTTGTTGGGTCCCACGGGAAACCAAGATTATCGCATTTTGCGTCTGACGAATACCAGAGCAACCCATCAGCCTAAAGCCCACCACAGTTTTTCCATCCCCAATCAGCAGCCAGTTATGATCGAGAACGGTTCGCGTAATATGACACCATCTGAATACAAGGGAAATCGGATAATACTGCATGCTATCGATGCTAACTGAGCAGGTTTACATCATCACAACCGTGAGCCTTGCAGCCGCTTCACTCCGAGCATCCACGCCTCTGCACCGGCGTAAATTGACACAGGAGAGGAAGATATCTGAGGGCAGCTACCTAGATGGTAGTGCCTCACACAGTGTAACCGCATACCACTGTACACACACACTGGGTGACAAGCTTGTCACGGGATGGTGATGCATGCGAAATGTGTGTTGCCAGACCAACACAAATACGAACATCAGCGCACAAATACACATGCACGCATACACACATACATCAGTCTAAACGTACTTGATCAAAGGCTTGCTCAATTCTAAGTGTACAGTGGCACCAACACGTGGCAATCAAACCAGGTGATAAAGCTAATCGATAAATCTACGTACGACTGGGAGGAGCGATGAATGGAAAGAAATCCAAATGACAAACTGATTTATCTCCAATAAAATATCGAAAGTGCTACTCTGCAGGGCAATGATTGATCGATTCTTTGCCTGTTATATGGATAGTTTTATACTAGGCGGTTACTGAACTCAAGCTAACTAAGCGAGATTTTGTTGACATAAATGAACAAAATTGTTTTGTTGTAGGAAATCAAATTTACATCCATTATGTCCACCGGTATTTGACCCAGATTAGAGAAGTATTTGGCCTAAGCATATACACAACGACACCTGCGGTCGAAAGAATCGAGCGATTTCTTCCTACGGTTTTATAATTTTCTATTGGTCAAAGGAATCCGGAGAACGGTATAACAAAGTGTGTTTCAGTTACAAGTATTCTATACAGATCTGCACTTCGCATATACAACAACGCGGCACACAGCGCGTAACAATATACCAACTTTTAATCACGCGTGATTATGATGGATTGAACGTGTTGAGTTTATGTTTACCAAATGAGGAAAAATTGGCAAGTTAAATATAAGAACTAAACAACAATACCAAAGGACCTACGATCGATCGTCCACATCACTGTATGCGTCACGTGATTCCGGTTGAATGACTGATTTGCGGTTATCCACGTTTGATCGGGGATAATTGGCATAGTCCCCGTCCGCTGCGGGAGCTTGAGCAGAGGCATCAGCTTCATCTTCGGAACTACTAAATTCCCCAGCTGTCTGTGGTAGACCAGCATCATCTAGCTCACCCAGACCGAGCCTCTGTCCGGCCGGACGTGAACCTGATCGATCGCGATAGGTTGATTCAGTCATTACAGGGGCTACCCCAATTCGATCGACAAAATCGGCAGGAAGTGCTGCTTTTGCTTTGTCAATACTCCGTCGGATACGTAATGAACGTCGTTCAAACGCTGCCCCCGATTCAGTTGCGTTCGGATCTCCATCACCATTTTTTCCTCTCTCTTCATCTTCGTCTCCATCATCGTCATCAGGATCATCGTCCTCATCTTCATCATCATCATCACTGCTTACATTGTAAAACGAACTCAGCGGAGTTTTAGCACGACGAACCTGTGTTTGAGCCTGATTGGGAGTCTTGCGTTGGTTCTGTTTAGCCACAGCATATGCGACATCCCCAACCACAGGCTTACCAGATCGAGAAGGTTCAGGTGTGACTATTGTTTCCACACGAGTGGATCGTGTTTTGGACCCGGTTGGATAGTTCCATTCTTCTGAACATTCATAATTATCCCCAGCAGAATGCACGTTCACATCAGGGTAGTTCTTCTGTGTCTGTAGAGATGAGTGAAATGTGTAGTCGCCTTGATGAGGAAGTGTCTGTGCCTGTGTTGGCAATGATGGTTGAACCGGCTGATCTACGGGAGGGGTTATCTTTTCGGCCGGATGTGGCACAAGTGTGGCGGTTTTTGCCAGTCGGTTTTGTAAGCGTTCAAACACATTCATCTTCGGACTATGAGCTCAAGTTAGTTTCGAACGTCCATAGAATTTCATTTGCATCTCTCCGGGTCTCGGGGAACTGCAAGAACAAGGGCAGATAGAAAATGAATAAACTTTATGAACACCTGAGGGAGAGAACGATTATATCACATAGCTGATAACATCGGGAAGGTTTACTCACTGTAACAGTGAAAGATGTGAGATGACAGTTTGGAATGCGATAGAAACCGCTTTGCGATGCGGCGACATTAAAATCTCAAACCGAACCTAAATGGTTCAGGTGCAACACATAGCAGCTCGCGTCATGGATAGACAAAGCTTATTGAAATACAGCCAACCTTACAAAGCTGTGTTGGAGAAGAGATACCCCCGGATTCGGATTCATCGACCCACTGAATTGGTTCTGCCATACTTACACTTCATATGGGATAAGTGGTTGGCATTTGTGTAAGATAATTGTTGATACTTTGTATAAGGTCCCTGCTTCTGCGCAGTTATGAGTATCAGAACCATTTCCCGAAAACAAGGGTAGGACATGGTATACAGATTAGTCGCAATCGGGAACTCAATCAAACATTAGGGGTTATAAATTATACTATTTGTAGAATTCATTTTGCATAAGTCTAGGTCAACATTTGAGATGCTCACCGTTTGCTGTATCAATCAGTAGATATACGAGGAATCGATCAAATTATGACTGGATCATATGATATCAGAAGCAATTATCCAAATGAGTAAGGCATTCTACTACATGTTCCTCCCGTTATTTTGCAAATTCCTTTTGGTAACCATCAACTTATAATAGAGATCATGATAACCAAGTGCCACTTTAGTTGTTATGTGAAAACTGCGCTCCAGTCTACACTTATGACATACGACCAATGGGAAGAAACATTTACACGAATAGTACAACAATTTGTGTCAATTGATCTCTGTGGAAAATAAACATGGAAATCTTCATATGAAGGAAACTACATCAAGATCGTTTTAGCTCAGTCAGAAAAACTGTTTTACAAGCCAGTATTATGAACTAGGGATTGTTTTACTAAATCTGCGATAGCGAAAATGCCATAACGAGACTGCTCCCATAGTGAAGAATTCATACCTTCTACTAATTAACCTACGTGAAGAATTGCAACCGGCTTTTCATTCCGCTTCGGCTCTTATGCAACCCATTTGGTGATTAATTTTGTTCCATACCAAACTTCTTATGGTCAAAATAATGGCCGATTAAATTATTGCAACTAGAACCTAATTCATTTCAGTCGCCAGAAGTTGCAAACAGCTCGTACATTAAAACGGAGTGATCAAAAACACAAACACAAAATACCATGGAACAACATTCGTTTGAGTGAATCAGTGATTTCATCAAAATTTTCTTATTTAAATAAAAATATATTTCTATCATTATAAATATGTAGGCCGATGAATCAGTATTCCAAGGCCCCAAAATAGTCATAATAAGAAAGTCTCAATACTATATCTCAGTTTCACTACCGTGTCTTTAACATTTAATTGAAAATTACGGATATCCACTATAGATTCACCGTTAGCTTAAAACCAGCAGTGCCGTGACTGATATTTAGTCTTAGTTTTCTGCAACAGGACTATTTTGGGCTCTCGGAAATATTAATACACTCGTATATATACCGAAGATATTCCTGATGTGACAACCGATTTCTTGAGTAGTTCTCAACTGTGCCAAAGCGACATGTATCGATTAATTACAGAAACTAGAGAATTGGAATGTTTTGTTAGTAATTCGCGAAGGAAAGCATCATTTTTCCCGATCATTTGTCAATGTTCTTCGTTTATTTTGCCCTATTCCAATCCGAAAATCATTAAGAGCAGAGAAGCAAACGCCAAAAATAGGATCACATGTCTCTTATCCTTCCTCTTTCATTTTCACTTTCTTTTATTGAATAAACAAGGATACATTTTTCAGGAAGAGGGAAGCGTCCGATCAAAGGGCTGTCATTTAACACAGAATGGAGAAAGTCAAGCGGTGGTATTGGGATTCAAACACGTCCTCCGGGGTGATAACTTGGTGACGTTAACACCGGGACACTGTCGCATTTGAGCATGAAATAGTGCACAACTCACAAAATAAGTCGACCTCAGCAAACCAAAATAAATGCCTGAGATATTCAATGATGCCTCCGGTTTAGTAAACTTAACACCTTTTAGTTTACAAAAGCTTTTTGGGAAAAGCTTGAAAACCAGACTGAAACTCATACGCAATGCTGGAATCTTCGGAATAGTTGGGCTCGGTGGCGGTTCGGAAACAACTATTTTCTTTCTTTCACAGTTAACCAGATGTGCGTTTCACAACAGCTACGAACGGCCTTTTTTGGGTCAAGTTAATAATTGTTGAGCAAGGAGTTTGGTTTACGTGTGTCCATTGCGTGGTGTGGCATGTGGGCTCAATCCCAATTACCGCCCACGAAAGCCGCCAGAGATTACAGTCTGATAAATTCAGAAAGTTACAAGAGAATTTTTATTGCGTAATCGATTTTGCAGTCACATTTAGGTGAATATTTAAATCTCGGATAACGTTTTGTACTGCACTCGATCAGAACATCAACTGGTAACAGAGAGTTTTCCAAAATCGACGTGAAGTGACTGAGAGCTACTTGTGCAAGCCAACCGTCGTGTTTTGCAGTGGAGTAAAAACCGAAGCCCTGACTCAACATTTTTTGAACGGCTCAATTTAGACAGCAAGCCGTTCATTGTAAATCACAAACCGATCGATGTATAAACTCACCTAGTCTTGAGAGCCAAATGAAAACTAATTCAATGGAAAAAACAACCCCAGTGCACGATTTCATGGAGCCGAAGTGGCACAATTGAATGCTATCACGATGAACAACTCACTCAAGCGTAAAGAAAAAGGATTTCGAATGTACATGCCTAATCTCGAGATATCGTTGTTTTTTTTACAACCGAGTCTATAAATTTGGTTGTAGAAAATTGATTGTGTTGTGGGATAAAGCAACATGTTGTGTTCTACTTGAGAATTATTAGCTGTCGATCGAAAAGAAAAATTTCTTAATATTTATTTGCTGTTAAATCAATGAAACCATGAATTATTTCTGGGCCGAATTTACAAGATTACCGCCTAGTGACCTCGACCTTAATGTGATTTAAACCTTTTCTACTGTTCTCAAAAGGGATTATACTCATTTTGAATATCATGGTCCGATAAGTAATGAAAAACCGAACATCCAAGGTTTGCATCTCAAACTTCGCAAACTCGAAGATCGAAATGTTGGATAAAGCAATAAAGAACCGAGAATTATCAACGGATTAATGTCTTGCGTGCAGTTCATCTACCGCACATCACGTCACACATCTGTATCTAAACAAGTACCGTTTATTTAACTTTAGAGATTACACTGTGCGAACGGATGGCTAACTTCAATGGTGCAAAATGATTAATTTTTAAATTAAATGCCAATATTTCAAGTCAAATCAAGGGGGAGTGTATATTCAACAACCACAAAACCACAGTGTCGACGATAAAAAATTGGAAATACAATATAGCAATTAAGAAAAATTGAAGTGGAAAGCAACATCACAAAACCAATGGCATACAACGTTATTTGTCACTGATTAAGATTAGCATTTTATGCCGATTTTCTGCAACGAGTTCATAGTTTGGGAAGAATATGGCGAGATCGGGGACAACAGAGTGCCGTAAGCCTCAGTGCGTGCGTTTCTAAGTTTACAACTGGAACGTGTGGATGAATAATAAAGACACTGACTAAAAGCAGGATGAAAGGGATGGGAATAATAAGAGATGGCTTTGTAAAATGTTTTACAGGACTTGAGGTGGTGTGTCACGACATGCTGTGCCCTTGGTATACGACCACATACCGACAAAAGCTTCAGGGATCGGGCAATGAGTTTGTGGTCCTTGTTAAAAGTCCGGGGAAGATAACAGGGGAACCATGAAGCCAGTGGGGCAAAACGAAATAAAAAATAAAACGCTGCGTAAGATCATTTTGGATCAAAATGATTTATTAGGTAAAACATAAAACGTAAACCCCCGACCTTTAGGAAAACGTCATCGACATACTCAGACCAAATGAAGTTACGGTTGAAAATAACACCAAGGTATTCGGCAGACGGTTGTCGACGCATCTGATTACTTAAGATAGATACAGTGGGACCAGTATTTCGCAGTTCATCATACTTTTGACATTTCGAAAGGGGAAAAATTACCTCGTTATGTTTTGGGGGGTTCATACGGAGGTTCCTTTGTTGAAATCAACCCAGTGTATCTGGCAGGTCATCTTGTAGAGTGATCTGAGGTGATGGGTTGAGGTACGGCATTCCAAATACTATCTCGTCGTCATGTTTTACGAGAAGAGTTCTTCAAAGGCAAAGAGGAAATATAAGCGGAAAAATAGAAAAGGAGATAAAATGGCGCCTTGCAGTACGCCTTGTGATGAGCATAGCAGTGAAGATTTTTGATCTTTGTAGCGTGTGAACTGCTGACTTCTGGAGAAATAGTTGATCAAGAGTTCAATTGTAGAAGGTTGAACGCGGCCAAAAGAGAGCGTATTTGGCAATATTTAATTATCAGTCGTGGTAAGGACATGACTATAGTCTAGAAACCGGCTTGCGAGAGCAAAATCCCTAATTGTCTTTAAGTAGCTCATGGAGAATTCGCAACGATATCAGTAAAGTAAATTGGGAAGAAGACAGGTAACGGCCTCATTCAATAGTTCAGTTGCACTTAAAGGTGCTGTTTATTTACTCTGTTTTGTGAATTACATCAATTACCCAATTATTACTCCCCCTGTAAGACATTTTAATAAGCCAATGATATCGCCATTGCTGTTTCCAGAATTGGTAGTATATAGGAGAAACACCGGGCGCCGTTACATTTGCACCTTATCCGGTCTTATTCCCGATACTGAAAAATGGCTTAAATGTATTTTACTTTGAAACGTTCCCCGTCTCCCTTCGACAGTGTACAGATTACAGGAAAGTTGATGAAG